TTTTTTGGCATGCACGAGAAAAAGCAAATATTTTCATTGTTGTAAAGGTTTTATTGAAGAAATTTGAGGAATATAAACACTTCATGGCTAAGTGAAGAAAAGACAAACATGGTGGCTAAAAAAATAGTGAACGTGAATTTAGCTGTATCCATTCCAAATACTTGAGCATCTGTTTGCAATGTAGATTTGATGCTGGTTAAATGTGTAAGAAGTTATAGAAAATCAACTGTGAGTTAATACTAAAAAGTCACTGAACAACCTGACCTCCACACACACTCAAGTTTACTGGGCTGTTAATATGTTAGTCCTCCCATAACGACTGTTTTCAGTCTCTACTTTCTCCTACATTTATTAAGTCTTATTTTACAGGGAAGACACCTTACCCAAATTCACCCCATCAGTGCTAACATTTCCTTCACTGTTAACTTGTTTATTTCTAGGTCAATTGAGTGACCGCTCCATTTGGCATTAGCTCCCTCTTAAATCTGGGAGTTTTGCACCACTTCTCCTAACATATAGGGAACATTGCTTCTTCCCCTCCCTCAAACCAGAAAGAGTTGCATAATCCTGGATCCCGGGAGGTATTTAAGAATCCCGCCTCTCCCCCCCCCCCCCCCCACGCCAACATTATGTTCTATTTACCTCTGGTTTGAAAATATATATTTAAAAGCAATGCTCCCAACTAACCCACTTAGCCAGTAACATTTTTCAGAAAAACAAATCATGAACAATGCATATTCCTGGGGGGAAGAATTTCTAACTCCAAATAGGCAGAGGATCTAGTAATTATTCGAATGAATAGCTTTCTAAAGAGGCCTGTCGTCCGGTTCTTACCTTTACAATTTAAAACTGCTTAGAATGGACCAGTAAGTGTGCACTTTTAAGGAGACATCTAAAGTGTGCTTGGGACCAGCCCAAGGCGTGAGGCTGTAAGACGCAACGGCTAGATTCAAAAGGTGTTTCTCAGCAGCTAGTCATTTCTCAAAGCAATAAGCAAAAGTGAACTTCCTTAACGTTCTCTTTTCTAGTCACCATCTAATACATCCTTTCGGAAGGAGGGGGGAAAACAGATGGTGTAATGGGGAGGAAAAATGAGTGATATTAAAAGTTCAACTAGGACTCTCTTCCAGTCTTTAGGATTCCAGCACGGCATGGATACTGATAAGATCTGGCTTTTCCAGGCTGCTACTTTTGCGGGGCTAGAATGAACTTGATGCTCAAAGGACAGGCCTCTCCCCTTTCCTCTATTCTTCTAAATTTACCTCTCCTCTTCTAGCTCCAAAGTCGAACTCACACAGATGGGATTCCTTCCCTCTCCTAACCCTCCCCCAAGAAAGAACAGGAGCCATCCCCCTTCTTTGCAGATACCTCAACCACTGCACTCAAATTAAGGTTTAACTGTGGTGCTGCCTGCTTTCTCTACTCCGAGCAGCCGCTGGTTTTCCTCGGAACTAGCTCTCCTTTCCGCGCCACCGCAGCGGCCGCCCCCTCGCTGCCCGGGACGCGAGCCCAGTCCGCACACCCGGAGGCGCGCGCGCGTGACTGCCCCGCACGCTCCAGCTGTGCTCCCTCCCTCTTCCCCAGAGACCTTGTACGTGACTGGCCCGCGCCCAATTACCTACTCCAAGGTGTGGGGTGAAGGGAAGGGTACTCCTTTGGGAAGGGGGACGAAAGAAGAAAGCACGAGTCCGAAGGAGCAGTCTCCAGAGATGCCGGTGCCACTGCTCGAGACAGCCGCGCCTTGCGGTTATAAGTAGAAGTGCACTTGCTCCCTCCCGGCACCCGTAGAGCCCCCGCCTGCCGGTGACCCAGGCTTAGAAGATTACCTTCCGGGGCAGTGCGCGTCTGGGCGAGAAGGCGGAGCCATGCGCTTCTTAAAGTCCCCTTCTCAACACTTCCGTAATTCCTCTTCCGGGACCAGAACTCCGGGTTTGTGTGTGTCCGTGCGTGTTATGAGTGTACACTAAAAGTACGCCCCGCGATTCTCTGCCTCTGCTCCCCTTTCTGGTACTTCCTCTCTGCTTTATGGACCGGAAGCGTCCTTGAGCCAAAATAGTTCGCCGGGCACTTCCGGACGGGAGAAGAAGGTTCCGGGAAGGTGCTGAAAGGAGAGAGCAGGACAGCGGCGGCAGCTGGAGGATGAAGAAAGAGCATGTGCTGCACTGTCAGTTCTCTGCGTGGTACCCACTGTTCCGAAGCCTTACCATCAAGAGGTAAGACGCTAGGGGCTACGTCGGGGCCATAGGCAAAAGGGAACTGCGACGTTTTGGGCGAATCCTAGCTCTGTCAAAAAAAAAAAATGTAGGCCTTGTAACGACCGAATGGGAGCGCCAGGAGCGCCAGGATCGGGATTTCGACTTCCTAGTGGTATTTCAGGTGGGGAGATTAATGAAGTCGATCCATATTTGCCGTGCATCCTGTTGCGTGTCAGGAAGTGTGCTAGGGGAAGTAGAAGGGTAGGTCGTGGTTCAGAGAAGGTCAGAAGGTAGTGGGTTAAGCTAATTTAGGCTTGGGAGTTCACCATCACTGCTTTGAGAATTGCCAGTGATGGGAGGTGATTAGGAGAACGGGATAGTCTGGGCTTGCCACTGGGTAACCCGCAGGGGGACTTAATTGCTTCCAGTCACAGTAAAACAAGAACAATGATACAGACTACACCTCAGATTCTATTGTGAAGCTCTAACATGACAGCGTATAAAGCGTTAGTTAAGTATAGTTATATATTGTTAGGGATGGTAATGTGCTGTGAGAGGGAGCCATCTGGAAAAGTTGCGGAACGGTATTTGTTTTCTAGTTCTCTGGCCTACAAACAAGGAATCCATCCTCAGTTTGCAGGGCAAGCAGAGGATTTACTGTTGAATCTTTCACCCGGCCATTCAAGGGATGTAGGCAAGGCAGCTGGGAGAAGATCCCCAAATGTTCAAAAGCAGCTAACACCTGGAACAAGATGCACCAGTAGGCTTTCACTCCCTATGAGGGATAGAGCAAAGAACTACATACCTATGGCTGTGATTTTCTGTACTTTGCCCACTCCCCCTTTCAGCCTCAATTGCCACTTATTTAGATATCAGCTGTCATATTACCCTTACCTCACCTCCGACCAATCAGCGC